TTCTCCTGGTCAATAAAATCAAAAGGGTAATATTTATATACTCCCTCCGTCCCGGTCATTTCTTCCAATTTTCCTTTTTGGGTCGTCCCAATTAATTCTTCCAACTTCCACTTTTAGAAAAAATATGTGGTTCACATTCATTCACTTTTTTCTTACACAACTACAATCATACATTTTCACTTTATTCCCACTACCTAAATTTACGATACCGGTCAAAATTGGAAGAAATGACCGGGACGGAGGGAGTACTAAAGAGTCATTGATGTTCATTAATATCTACTATTTATCTACTAATATTTATCATCAATGTTAAAGGACTTATATGAGTCATTAGGATCCAAAGCACCGCTAAGAGTAAGAAGATCCATTATCTGTATATGTTCAATGAATCTGCTATTCAGATCCAACAATTATGAACATATGGTTGCGTAAAACATATCAACCTGATAGTGACATTTAATATCAAACCCTTCTTGATCATGGCGTTTGCGTTTTACCACATAAGGAGACTTCATATTAGGAACTTCATCTCATGCGTAGGGTTTTGCAAAATTCTTTAACAAATTCTAAGAAGTTATCCCATCCACCACCCCTTAACTTTTGGATCAACATTTTGGTGCTTGACACCAAATGCATAGAAGATTTGTTATGCCCATAATTTCTTTAATAAGATGCAACAAGAAAACAAAATCAAAAAATTAAATCTTCTTAAGTGCTCCAGCTGCATCTCCACGTGTAGAAAAGTTATTACCATTCGATCTCTTCAACATCTTCTAAAACAAAACAAGTTGTAGCAAACATCCTAATCAAATTGCAAACAGAACTGAAATGGGAGATTCAAAGAGTTCCCCAGCTCGTTGTAATGCACCAACCTGATTAAGTCATCTGCCCGTTTCAAGCTCACCAATTTCCAGAGCCGGAAGAGGCACTGCCGGACTGGACGGATGCGCCTGCTAGACTCCAATACTTGTTGAGTTGTTGGGGGCGCGATGGCAAGATGGCGGACTGACCGTGAAATTGGCGTCTTTGTAGCGTAGCTACTCCGCCTACTCGTCAGTCGTTAATCGCAGGAGGGGTTTGTGACTTGGGAGTTTGTCGCTCTGTATTCCATCTGGTTTTGGTTGAGTTTATCTTCCATGAGTCTTGGACTGGGCTGATATAATATTACTTCTATAAGTTCTATTTGTTTAGACTTTTAAACAATTGGGCCTTGCGAGTAGGCTATGATTTGGAGGCGAAAATATTTTTTGGAGGGGTTCAAAATATTTTTTGGAAGGGCGGAAACTATTTTTCGTAAATATATACACTATTTTTTTTGTTGGGGGGTGGTAGCCCCCTGGGTCTCTATTACGGTGATTTTTTATGTCAATTTTTTGTTGGACGCGAGTCGCATTATATTGTCAATTTTTTGCCAAAAAGCTTATCATGCACTAAAAGCAATCACATGAAGAATAAATGAAAAAAGGCAAAATATATATTACTTCCATAATTCTAAAAGACAAAATTATAACTAGTTTCCTTTTTTAAAAAAATATGACTAACCTATGTTTTAATTATAAATTATAAGAAAAATTGACAACAATAATCCCACCATGGATCAGTCTGGTCAAAATAATCTCACCTTTGATCGGTCTACTCAAAATAATCTCACATATGCAATCCCAAAATAATCTCATCTTTGTGGCTCATTTTCTCTCGTTGGACCTTGACCGGTTGATGACCTACTATACCAAGTTTTTTGTCTTTTCTTTGGAAATCTTACATAAATAATATCATCTTTCACAAATCTACTCAAAACAGTCCCAAGTTTCATTTTCTTCTTCTTTTTTTCATCTTCTTATAAATTCATTTATAAGAAGATGTTTATGTTTTTGCTTTCCTTTTTCTCATTTTTTTGCTTTCTTCTTCTTCCACATTTTTACTTCTTCTTTTTTATGTATTACTATTCGGTTAATTATCTTATAAAGACTACTATCCTACATTACTTGTTATTATTTTATTTATTTTTATTTCAAATTTTCTTTTCTTTAAAACTACTTCGTATTTGTTTGTTTCTTTGTCTCTTTTCACCCCTTCCATTTTCGTTTCTTTTAATATGATAGTGAATATTGACGATTTCTTGATCTAGATTTCTAATTTATTCCCATTTTCAGATAACGTTTCTCACATCTATCCTTCTTCCTGTAAAGAGTATGTGTAATTTTTTCCCGATTGTTTTATTTTTCTTTAATTTTTTTCCTTAATCTTTTTATCAAAAAGATTTTTTCCAATAGTTTGTGAAATTTATGAGAGAACTTACCTAGAAAAATACGATGTTGCAGAAAAGGAGAAAATTATATATTGACTGTAGAATTATGATAACAAGAAGAAAGAAAAGAAGAAAAAAGAAAAAACACACAACAATGTAACAAGAAGAAAAAGTGGAAAAGTGAAAATAAAAAGAAAATATAACAAAAAGTGAAGTGGGAAAAAGATCTTTCATATAAAGAGAATGATTAAAAAAGAAACACATAAAAGGGAAATGAAATAAAAATACGGGAAGAAAAAATGATAAAAAATCTGTCCGGAAAAGAAATTTTTCAAAAACTCTTACTAACAGAGTGGGAATTAGAATAACAAATACAACAACAACAACAACAACAACAACAACAACAACAACAACAACAACAACAACAACAACAACAACAACAACAACAACAACAACAACAACAACAACAACAACAACAACAACAACAACATTCAAGCTTTAGTCCCAATTCCCAAAAGATATTGGGGTCGGCTAACATGAATCGATACATGATATCACAACCAAAAGGAAAAGAAAGAAAATAAAGATAAAAAAGATAAGCTATTATAAAAAGATAATATAAAAAGAGATGAATATACATAAAAATGATAAAATAAAAAGGCTACAAATAATGCTTATATATATAAGGATAAAAAACAAGGAAAAAAAAGATGAGGGAAAAAGATTATACGAGATCACTCCTTCACACGAATACCCGCCCTCCACTTAGTTCTCTCCAAAGTCATGCCCTCATCCAACCCCAGAAGAAGCGTATCACTTCGAACTCCCCTAACCAACGTCTGTTTGGGTCTTCCTCTCCCTCTCTTCCCTGCCTCTTCTCCACATATCTCAACTCGTCTGACAGGTGCATCACTCGGTCTTCTACGCACATGATCAAACCACCGTAGGCGCGACTCCCGCATCTTGTCTTCAATAGGTGCTACTCCCACCCTTTGTCTGATTGTCTCATTCCTCACGCGGTCCTTCCTAGTATGACCGCACATCCAACGCAGCATGCGCATCTCTGCCACACTCATCTTTTGAATGTGACATTGTTTCACCGTCCAACACTCTATGTCATACAGTAATGCAGGCCTAATTGCTGTCTTATAAAATTTACCCTTCAGTCTAGTCAGCATACCTCGGTCGCATAGAAATCCTGACGCACTCTTCCACTTCATCCACCCTGTTCTGATTCTATGGGATACATCTCCATCTAACTCACCGTCCTTCTGAATTATGGAGCCCAAGTAACGGAACATATTGATGATTGGTATCTCCTTACCATCCAGAGTAATTCCGCTATTACCACTACTTCTACCTCCACCAAACTTGCACTCCATGTACTCTGTCTTGCTCCGACTTAGTTTGAAACCCTTATTCTCTAATGTTTGTCGCCATACTTCCAACTTTGCTTTAAGACCTGATTGCGTCTCATCAATCAATACAATATCGTCGGCAAACATCATGCACCACGGTATATCGTCTTGAATTGACTTCGTAAGTTCATCCATGACTATGTCAAATAAGAAACGGCTCAAGGTCGATCCTTGGTGCACTCCGATAGTAATAGAGAACTTTTCAGTCCTCCCTACACTAGTACGGACACTTGTAGAATAACAAATATGGAAAATAAATAAAAACAAAAGGATGGAAATTAAAAAATATTAAACAAGTGTCTAGAGATAAAAATAAAGAAAGAAAAATATTTGGGAGAAAAAAGAAAAAATAAAACATTGGACTGTTTTGAGCAGATTTTTGTGAAAGGTGAGATTATTTATATAAGATTTCTAACGAAAAGACAAAAACTTGGTATAGTAGACCATCAACCGATCAAGGTCCAATGAGAGAAGATAGGTTGCAAAGGTGAGATTACGCAAATGTGAGATTATTATTATGAGCAGACCGGTCAAAGGTGGGATTACTATTGTCAATTTTTCCTAATCATATAGCTTTCTTTTAATTGAATTCCTACTAAACTATGTCAAATATCTTGTGGTCCGATGACATCATTGTGACACTTCCATGGAAGAGGTTATAAGTTTGAATATCTATCTCGGTTTTGAACCTTCGCCCAAAGAAACCTATTCAATTATGCACCCTTGTACGGCTGCCCCATCTCTGGTTCCATTATTGGCTGCACTGCTGCAGCAACAACCGTGAAGTGCCGCCACCCGCTACTACAAAAGTAGCCGGAAAAACTCGACTGAAAATTTTTGTAGTTTTTTTAATTTTCATTGGAAAAAGTTGTCGGATTTTTTTTCCACGAGGCAGAGCAACATGTTTCATGGCAATGGCAACAATGACACCGATGGAGACTAGCAACACTTCATGAGTTCATGGTATCTCACTTTTCAGTTTTATTACGTTTTTAGAGGATTTTCCCTAAATAATACTAATAAAAATTGATGGACAAAAATTTGACTTAGTAACTATTAGGTATTATAGGTATGCTCAAATTTTACATCGTTGTGACTACATTATGTACATGAAGTCACTACAATGTAACTTTTAACACAATTATAATCACTAAAAGTTACTAAGTCACATTTTTGTCCATTACTTTTCAGGAGTAATATTAGTGAGTTTCTTTCAATATAATCACATTTTAATCTATATAGTACGAAGTACATAATTTTGAGTGGGATCTTACTACCTTAGATAGTGATCTACCCCAACAAATTAAAATGAGCTTTCTCAAGGGTGGACTCATTTGCTCAAGACTTATATTGATATCAAAGCATTCAATAAGGGAACAAGAAGATAAAAAGACCATTTCCAACCACCGACCCTCGAACCAGACTTAGAGCCAATCACCCTGGAAAAAGCAATATGGCTCACTGATCCTATAATGGGTCTAAATGAGCCTAACGCGGCTAGAATAGACCTCTCTTCACCCCAACCTAATGCAAGAGTCTGGTTAATGAAAAAACAAAACAGAAAGCAACAACGATAGTCTAATCAAAACAAAAAATAACAGCGAAAATAAAGTAGTGGGAATTCAGCTGCACCCTCGCACAGCTTAAAGTAATCCTTCGATCCTCCATGTCTTGGGGCCACCTCAAAAGTCTCAACGAGTCTAGTGTCTGAGACCCGTCCCTTCTTCGTTTTTTGAAAAGTCCAATGCCATATTGTCCCTTTTGTCATCCTCATGCTCCTTTTCCTCCCACACTCTTCTACGCTTCTGCTCTCCAGAGGATCCCTCCATAGCTACTATGTCTTGCTCCTCCTTTGAACCAGCATCTACCTCAGTAATTACCCCATGCTGCCCCTCTGACCCAAATATCTCATCTCTGGCATTTATGGTTCCTTCTTGCTTGCCCGGCTTGCTCGATCCGCTTCTGTCTAAGAGGCCTTCTGTGACTAGCCATTTGTTGTCCCTCATCCGTTGAGTTTTCCCTCCCCACCCGCTCGAAGACTAACTCCAAATGGTTTAGTCAAAGCTTTGTTTTCACAGTCATATGCCAAAGGACAAAACATGTCTGCATGACCAATAATTGCAGCAATGTATGTTGAATAATATATTTTATTTATTAAATTAGGAAAATCAATTTTCACGTTTTAGTGTTTTATGGCTTACTATTAGGTATCATAATTTTTCTCCAAAATAAATAAATTTCTAATACTGACTATGATCCATAGATCATGAAAAAATATATATGTGACTTTAAAAAAAGTATTACTATTTTTATGTACTCAAACATGTTATGAAAAAACGTGTGACTTTATAAATAAGTTTTTAATACTAACTTTGATTCATAAGTTTCACGTCAAAGTATTACTAGTGTTATGTACGGAGTATTTGTTTTTCAAGCTCATGTAGCCTCTTATTAAACAATGTCACTTATTAAGTCTTGTTCGTGGATTATCATTTATGTAAAAAAAAAATCTTATTTCAAATGTTTCTAATTATGAGTACTTTATTTTGCATTATACACACATTAATTTTTTAACGGTGTGAGGTAATATTTGCCATTAATGCGTCTTCGGTTAGGTTTCAACTCATCAATGTATATACTTATTACTTTATGGTTTTGAAAAATGAAATGAAAAACAAAGGAAATTTGAAAAATATGTGTCCAGGTTTGAAAAATGGAAAACTAGAAAATGAAAACAGAAAACTGGAGAGACAAATAAATAGGCCCTAAATACTTTAAAGAGTGATTTTTAGGTTTCTAATATACTTTAGCAATTAATAGGAACAAATATTGCTTGAGAAATTTAGAGCTCATTTGATAACACGTACTGAAATGGCTGAATCGGGTGATTCTGCTGAAATTTATGAAATTCTGGCCGAGTGGTTGTATTGGCTGATTTCGGTCATTTATGAAAAAAAAATGTTTAAAATATATTTCATTAGTAAAATAAAGAAAAAATTATATGAAAAATAGCTAAAATGATCATCTACAGTAAATTCATCCAATTCATCCAATACACAATTCATTGCGCGAAATCAAAAGTTACGTGTTTGGTTAAAAAGTTGGAGATAAGTCTGATAATCCGAAAAACAAAGTCACCAAACGGACTCTTAGTCTCATAAGTTATTATGTGTAATATTAAATTTTTAACTTGTTTTTGAAGATTTGGTCATGCTATGAATATATTTATTCAAGCATCTCACTTTCTTAATAAAGTGTCTTCAATGCAACAATGTGTATATGTGATATGAGAGGGATAGTTAGACATATAAAAATAAATTAATTATATTTCTCTCTTTCTGCAATTTTATATGTTTGGTAACTTTTTCTCATCAACGTCAGTCACAATGTCTACATTTGAACACATTTCTTGACACTATGGAAAAAAAACTTGATAATATTTATGTCTCTATCGCTCTAATGTAACATATAGAATGAAGATGCTCTTAAAAACCAATTAAGAACACACCACAAAATTCTCTCCTTTTCAAGAACTTTGAATGCCCTCTAAAGATTTCTTAAAAACCTCTTATAATACGCAAATGAAGAGAACACGGTGCACCTCTTATAAACTGCTATATTCCGATTTTATTACATTATTTATCAAATTATTCTGATTTTCTTAAATGCATAAGATTTTGCAACATTTTGCAAGTCAATAATCTTTTGAACATCTTCTTCAATTGTTTTGTTGTTGAACCAAAATGACATAATCATGTTACATTCCACATAATCTCTTTTAGTCTTTTATACTTGAGTCTAATTTATTATTATCTCACCTTAATATTGAGAATACTATCTCATTGATATGATAGTCTACAATAGGGGTGGATTCGGGCCGGGTCGGGGCCGGGCCGCCGGTTCGTATCACATGGGCCCGGGACCGGCCCGAGGGTTGGACGGGTCCGGTTCGGGCCGGGCCACCCGTAGGGCCGGGCCGGGTCGGTTAAATATTTTTTTTTATTTATATTTTATACTTTACAGTTTTATACAAGTATTAAAAAACAAACTTCAAGTGCATTTATTTGAAATGAAATAGGAACTACATTTGAAAATTAAATAGGAACTATAATTGTTTTTTAAACATGAAATACTAATCAATCATTCAATATTTCAATCGGAATCTCCGGCATAGGTAGAGCCACCCTCGGTTGTAGATTCATCCATAAAGTGTTGGGATGGGGTGATGTCAATTTCTTGAGCTCTACGGGCTGCTTTCAACCAATCGTGGTAGCATATAAGCATCTCAAGAGATTCAGCGCTCAACCTCGTTCTGGTTTGTGTTAAGACATTGCCGGCCGAACTAAATTCTTGTTCCACGGCAACCGTTGAAACCGGCATTGATAGCACTTGCTTAGCCATCTTTGCTAAAACCGGGAACATTCGAGTTATAGTAAATTAACTAGTGAATTAACTAGTTTTGTGTACAACATATTTTTTTAAACTAGAGTCAAATGTAGCAATTAATAAAAAATTGTAAAAAAGTAATTAACTATTTATCTAACTATTAAACTAGAGTCAAATGTAGCAAATTAACTAGTAATTAAACAAGTGTAAATAATAGAATAATTTCGTACCTCTTTCGGACTTTCGTTCTTTCAGATGGGAGTAATAGAATGACTTAAAATTAATTAGATATAATTCCAACTATATTAATAGATATAATAAATATATAAGTAATATATAATTAGATAATAAATATAAGTAATATAATACTATTTATATCTATTTATAGTTTATATAATATAAGTAGATAATTAATATAAACTATAAATAATAAAAATAATATATTGGAGAATGGAGAATAAGAGAATTAGAGAGTATTTATAGGTTTTTTACCTAAATCCTATTCTTAAGATTAGGAGTATTTATAGGTTTTTTACCCCCCACCCCCACCACCACCACCCAACCCCCCGGATCCCCCCAGCACCCCACCCAACGGCTAAATAGCCGTTTGGGTTGTCCCCAGCCCACCCATAACGGCTAGTAGTACCAATTTAACAAAAAAAAAAATTATACCGTTGGACCCGGACCCGGGCCCGACCCGGCCGGGCCGGGTCACATTTTTCCGTAACCGTGCCCGCCCCGCCCTTTCCCACCGGTTCGGGTCCACACCCGGTCCCGGACCGCCCGACCGGGCCGGTCCCGGGCCCGCACAGTACCGGGCCGGGCCGAGTCACGGGCCGGGTGGCCCGAACCGAATCCACCCCTAGTCTACAAACGTTATTCTGAGCAAATCATGAGTCACTAGTTCAATAATTTTCGTATAAAAAAACAACATCCAAGCCTTAATCCCAAAAGAATTTGGGGTTAAATAATTTTCGTATGATTGAGTAAATTTTAAAACCAACTTAAACTCTCAATCCCTTGAGAGTTGAGAAACCATTTTTGTACGATGAGAGAAGCTACGGAAACAGTAACATGGGCGATTGGAACATTAACAACACAACAATGAACTAAATGTATTATTGTATTTTTGTAAAATCAACGAACTACATAGTTCATTTTTAGACATGTTCTTTTTGTTGTTTTATTAGCATTATTGTTGTTCTTTTTGTTTTTGAACTCTCTTGGAGTGTTGTTTTTCGAAAAGACAACAATGAACTACATAGTCCAAAACCAAAATATTTATTAATATTTTAATAATTAATTTTTGAATAAAAACAACAAAAAAAAAATTGGATAGGCCCGGCCTGAAACCATAAATACTAAATAGGCTCAGGCCTTATTAAAAAATTTTAGGACCGAAATCAGCCAATGTCCCAGCTACAATGCGACAACTAGATTGAGAATTTAAAAATATTGATTTTATGTCTAATAATTGTGCATGTGTGATTAAACTCGATAATAAATAAAATCATTTTTATAAAAATATATGTAGTACCATTTTTAGAATAGATAAAACTCAAACTAGAACTTGAACTCACTATTATTTCTTCTTTATCATGCACTACTCAATGTTAGGGGTGGACTCGGGCCGGGTGGCCCGACCCGGAACCGGCCCGGGACCGGTACTGTTCCGGCCCGGCCCGACCCGGTGGCCCGGTCAGTGACCGGTCCGGGTAGGCCCGACCCGGTGGGTTTCCGGTCCGGGCTCGGGTCACCCATAACAAGGCCCGGCCCGGCCCGGTTCGGGCCAAATTTATTTATTTTTTTGGTTTTTTTCATTTGTTTGGGCTCCACCGGGTTGGGCTTGATGTTTAGGATGGGTTTGGGGGTGGGGGAGTGAGGGGGGGGGGGGGGTCAGGGATGGGTAGCTAAGCAAAAAAAAAAAATAATAACCAAACCCGAGGCCCAGCCCGGCCCGGCCCGGACCCGGACCGGACCCGGTGGCTACCCGGGCCGGTCCCGGGTCCAGCTATATAGGACCGCCGGCCCGACCGGGCCCGACCCGGCCCGGGTCCAACCCTACTCAATGTCTCAATCTAAGATGAAATCCAATTCGGCTCACTTGATTGGCACCCTAGGTGGGACCTAGACTGGTTTCACATTGTCACAAGGGTAGACTGCATTTTGTACAGTGAGAAATAGTCCAAAGAAAGAAGAGCTGAACACACATTAAGAGTAGCATTCCATGGTAGCAGCTGTTCAAGAAACGAGGAGGAGAATTTTGCCAATGTGATTGCTGCTCTCCATGAGCCGGTGAGCTTCTACTGCCTCGGCCAAGGGGAAATGCTGATAGACCACAGGTTTGACCTTTCCTTCACTGATTGCAGGCCAAACATTCTTGACCACTGCGCTCACTATTGATGCTTTGTTCTCCCCACTCCTGTTCCTTAATCCAGCAGCTACAAAAGAAAATGAAAGCCATACCATCCATTTCTCATTAAACCACCAGTAAAAGGCCTTATTTACTCCGCGAGTGTTTGCCGCTTTTAGAGATTTTTAGAGTGTCAGAAGAACCATACAAACTACATTACAAAAGAATGTTAAAAGCAAAAATCTAGGGACTAAACGAAGTAATTTTATTAGCGTTGTGTGTGCTAGGGTGCTGGATGCAGAGTGATGTGTATTCCAAAGTTTTTAATTATTACTGCGTGCAGCAAATCCCGTGGGAAGCCTAGAAGAAAGTGTGAAGAAGCACGCAAGAATGGGGAAAAGAAATTAAGAAGAATGAGATAACTTCTTAAGAAATTTCTATAAAGCTTTCTTGTTCTTGTTTTGCTCTTCGCGGCTGACAACTCTCTCTCATGCTACTTCTTTCTACAAACATCTCTGTACAGTATTGTTTATCCAACTAGTTTTCCTCTCTTAGATTTCTTTAAATCCGTCATTGGAGTCTCCCCCCAAGACTTGCTCTTATTACTGATTTACTATCGTCCTATCGGATTGACGGAAGTGCAGGGCAACAGATTTGCATCGTCGCAGTTTAGGATTTCTAGCTGGAACTCCAAATTAAATTAAACATGAGAGAAAGAAATAAAAGGTGACGAAAGAGGGGGGAAGCAACTTGATAGAGACCTAGATAGTACCAGTAATAAGAATTATATTAGTCTTTTAATATTGTACAATAAAAGGGGTTTAGGGGTTTAGGCCTTGAATTAAATAGCAGTGGGCTAGCCCAAATGGAAAAGAATAAATAAGAGTTGGGCGAGTAGAATAAGGCAGGCAGAATTTAGTCGGAACTAGGAATTTAGGAGAGCGAGACCTCTCAGAGTCTCATCTATTTTCTGTTTCTTCTCTTTCTTCTCTTTCAGCCATTGTAAGACTGAGATTACTATCAATATACTACCAATTTCTACTGTGTTTTACTGAGTACCTACTATTGGTATCAAAGCAGTTCGTTCATGTGGCTATTCGCGAGCATCGCTTGTATAATCTCAAGCAGAACATGGAGCGCAACACCACAGAGGTGCAATCGATGGTGGAGGAGATGTGCCACATGTTGTGCAAACTTCGTCGCAGACGACATAAAGACCGCGCGAGGAGC